TTTTTTTTTTTAGTGAAGCTGCAGTAAGATGACACAATCAATTTAAAAGCATCTTTCCCCTCTTACATGTTGAATTGCAGTCAATAAGAAGCTAAGCTCAGTAGCTCTGCATTATCAACAGGGGCATCATGTTGCTTAGATGAAGCAATAGATTTGATTCAGGAAAAACTGGATTTGAATGTAACCTCACATATTTATGACTGGCAAGTCACTTCATAGCTCTCAACCCATGGTTCTTATCTGTAAAATGGAAATAACAATACTATCTATTTCATAGGGCTATTGTAAGGTTCTGTGAAAAAATGATTTTTCTTAGTAATTATTACCTTGGAAACTCAGAGCTTTCCCATCCCCCTTTCTTTCAAAGTTCAGTCCTTCTGAAAAAGGATGTTAAGATATAATCTAAATGGGTCTGTTCCTGCTCATTATGTTGCCTAGACAGGTCTGGGAGAATGTTGATTTTTCCCTATTGTCAAGACAGGTGATATGGAAATTGATGTCTCTTTGACCAGGATTGAGTGACCTGGGTCAAGCACTGAAAGACCCTCATTTTAACATGGGGAGCCTCCCAGAGTTGATTGGCATCTCTGGGGACCACCTCCTCTTCAAAGGGCATATAAGGCCATACCCCTAAAATCCCAATTTAAGCCGGTTCTGAACTGGTTCCCTTAGGGATACCTCATTTTGGACTCAACTCCCATGCAATGCATGTCAAGCCAGCTTGAGAGAACTAAAATACTGGATACACACACCTCAATTTTGTTGTGTCTTTCTTAGAGCTGACTCTATTTCAAAATTGAGGTTTGCAAATTTTGGGGGGTTCACAGCTCAACTAATATTGCCAACTTTAAAGCATTTTAATAAAGCCAGCTGTTATTGTTATTAACTGGCATTTTCTTTCCCACTCCATCGAAGGTTTACTATTATTTTTGTTATGGTGACTGGGCTAATAAAAATGGCATGTTCTATTTTGTGCCAAGAACCCACCATACCCTTTGTTCCAAATTATATCCCAGTCTGGCAAAAACAAAACAAAACAAAACAAATCAAACCAAAAAAACCCCCCCAAAACCCTTTTCTCCTCTTTGGAAGTCAGGATTCTGCTACAATCTGCCCACTACTTAATTATTATTAGTATTACTGCTACTAATAGCTAGCATTTATATAATTTTGAAGGTTTGTATTTTACATATGAGAATATATAAAGAATAATGTTATGGTTTGTCCTTTGTCCTCAATGAGGACCATGACATCAGGAAAATGATGACATGACTTACAATTGCATTGGATTTGAGTGAGGGAGAGTTGTGCAGTCACCAGCCTCACTTTCTCCTCCAGAGCCATCTGGAGGCCAGATGTAGATCAGGACTACTGTGGGCCTTCTGGGCCTTCTGGGCCTTCTCGCCCAGGACGCAGTGGGAGATCTTGGCCTTTTAAGCTAAGGTCTTTTCCAGTTTTCCCTTATTATTACTGTTAACTGCTACTAATAGCTAGCATTTATATAGTTCTTTAAGGTTGTACTTTACAAATGAGAATATATAAAGAATAATGTATGGATTATTCAAAGCATTAATAAAATCCTCAAATAACACCAGCAGTATGATGCTAATAACCAATAAGATAATCAGGTTGTGTTCTCTAACTGCAGCAGGTTTTGAATATAATGATTAAATGGTGCTTTCCCTCTACTCCAAATCCTCCTTTTTCCACCAGCTATGTTTGTTTCTCCAGTGTTCTTTCCTTTGACTTTCTATCCACACCCACGGTGGACAACTGTCCCCCAGAGCAGAATGAGTAAGGCCTTCAGTTTTTAACCTCCTTGCTCTCATTTTCCAGGCAGATTCACTTACCTTCTTGCTCTCACCTGGAGACTCTGTAGACAGAGTGGAACAGTGGAAAGGGCCCTAGCTTTGCAGTCCTGGTGGAGATAGGGGTTCATATTCTGCCTCTGTCACTTAGGACCTGGCTAATATTGAGTAAGGTCATTCCTTAACTTCTCTGAGCCCCCTAACTGTAAAATGAGGAGTTTGCACTAGATCAAGGATTATCAGCCTTTTTTTTGTGTCACAGACCCCTTTGGCACTCCAGTAAGTCTATGGACCTCTTCTCAGACTAAGGCTTTAAAATGCACAAAATAAAATACATAGCATTATAAAGGAATAACAATAACAATAGCTAACATTTATATAGTGCTTACTATGTGCCAAGCACTATGCTAAGAACTTTATGATTATTATCTTACTTGGTCCTTATAACAACCCTGGAAGGTACATGTTGTTATTATCCCCATTTTATAGATAAGTATACTGAGGCAAACAGAGGTTAAGTGACTTGCCCAGGGTCATAGAGCTGGTAAGTGTCTGAGATTGGATTTGAACTCAGGTCTTCCTGACTCCAGGCCTGATACTCTATTATATTGGAATACATCTCTCTCTCATATATATGTTATATTAATGATAATAATAATAATAATAATAATATAATATAATAATCATATATGTATAACATTAAGAACCCCTTGGATTAGATGGCCTCTAAATCCATGCTGTTATGACAGACTACATCCAAGGGAAGCACATACAAAGATCATCCTTGGGCTAGAACCTGGCCTCAGTGTTGATGAAGGTGACCTCAGCCTCCTGCTTACTGGTGCTCCCTTTGCTGCCCATTTTTATGAAATGTTGTTACTTTCCCCTGAACTCTAGTAACAGCATGACCCTTTCTTCTGTGACTTACACATACTTCTTACTAGCTATTCCCTTGCCCAGTAGTCTCAGGTCATTCCTTCCCATCTGGTTACAGTTGTCTGCTTTCACTAACATCTGGTGTTTTTATGCCCTTGTGGGTATTGCCTATTATCAAGTTACCAGAATCTTTGTGAAGTAATCCCAGCATCTCTGTCTTTGCATGAGTCAAAGGCAGGTTCTTGCTTCCCTCTGGTTACAGTTAACACAGATGGGCCGAAGGCTGCATGCAGAGAGCAAGCCTTTGTGAACAGGATGGAGAGCAAAAATCAGCTGTCCTAAATTCAGGCCTCTCATTCATTTGGCCTTTGCAATCTGGCTTCCACTTAACTTTAAAGCTGACTCACAGAGGTAATTCCCCTTTGTATGCTCTACATCAAGCCTGGTTGCTGGTCACCCCACCACATGCAACATCCCATCTCTTCCCTCTCAGTGTCGCTGTACTCTGTCCTCATCTCTGCCTTGTAGGATTTCTATTTTTCTCCAAAAATCAACATGAGGACTCCCCACTCCTCCCCAGCAGGTGGTTCCTCCCCCCACAAAAAAATAAGTTATCTTTATTTTGTATTTACTCACCCAGGCAGGAGAGATATTTGGGGGTGGGGTGGGGATTAAAAGGGAAAGCAATCCCACAGGCATGGCCGAAGAGGCCAAAAGGGATTACTTTAGGAGTGATTGTGAATAGGGTAGAAGTTGAGAGAAAGTCTATTTGGAAATAGGCATTTTCCTCTCCAGGAACATGAGAGGGATAATACCCAGTCCTAGGGTCGTATTGAATACTGGTTGACGTACCCCTATTCATCAGAATGCACTAACAGGTAGATTCTATATCAAAGGTGCAGTAACAGCCACACCTGGCCAACCACTAAGGGTTAGCCATTCTAATTGCTCCCTAGCACACTCACTAGGAGCTAGTACTCCCCCCACAACATAGTTGGGCTAGTTTTCCCCTGAAAAGCTATCCCCAGTACTTCACTGGACTAGGACCTCTCTTGATTTAGCTTCCTAGTAGCCTCTGACTGTATTGACTATAGCTTCCTGGTCATCTAAGGGCATAAAAAGACCCACCTATTTAGAGTCTGGGAATTTCAGACTTGGCAAATATCCCAGGACCACTGGAGATCCACACCCTGTCCTGCTGACCAGTGCATTTTCATATAGAGACAAGGTGGGTAAAAGAAGGTCTGAACCATCTAAGCTAAGTGATGGAGCATCCTTGTTGAATATCCTTTTTAAAAATTCCATTTCTAAGTAAACCTCCTTTCATTGACTGTTTAAAGACCTATGAGTGCCTTATTTCTTTTCTCTTTTTTTTTTTGGCAATTGCGGTTAAGTGACTTGCCTAGGGTCACACAGCTAGTAAGTGTCAAGTGTTTGGTCTGAGGGCGGATTTGAACTCTCAGGTCCTCCTGACTTCAGGGCCAGTGCTCTATCCACTGCACCACCTAGCTGCCCCCTTGCCTTATTTCTTTTCAACATTGAACTTGAATTAACAACTACCATCCTGAAGCAGGCCCATCCTTAACAAGGGCAGCCCTGGCTAGAAAGGTCCAGTTAGCAAAGTGTGTTTCAGAGAGTTCAGTAAAGAGGTAACTTGAGATAAGAAAAGGCTGGTTTAAGCAATGGAGAAAGGTTTTTGAAGGGACCAACGTGGAAAACCTTCACCTGGAAAATGATGATAACTCAACAAATATATCTCTGAAAGCCTCCAAACTACTTAATTTGGTCAAAGAATCCCATATAAAAGTAAGATTGGGGTGAGGATGTTGGAAATGTGGGCAAGAAGTACTTACTTGCCTGTGCTGTGGACTCCATCACCACTGAAGGAAAGGAAGGCTCCTCTCCTAATGGTACTTTTATAGGGCATTTGATCCTTCTCTGGTCTTAGCCAAGTCAGGATAAGAAATGTCACAGAAAGAATTTGTGGGGGGTGAGAGTTGGGGTAAGTGAAAAGACTGCCTAAACTCCAGACTCCTGAACTCTATGGCCAAAGGAATAAGCAGATTCTAGAGAGCTGAAAAAGGCAGCTCTGACCATACAAATCCATGCCCCTAGAACCAGAACAGAATATTAGAATCAAGACTTATTGTTGTCATTCAGTGTTTCCAACTCTTCTTGACCCTATTTGGGGTTTTCTTGGCACAAATATTGGAGTGGTCTGCCATTTCCTTCTCCAGCTTATTTTACAGATGAAGAAACTCAGCCAAACAGAGTTAAGTGACTTGCCCAGGGTCACATAGCTAGTAAGTATCTAAGGCTGGATTTGAACTCAGGTTTTCCTGACTCCAGCCCTAGTGCAGTATCCACTGCCCTACTTAGCAGCCCCAAAGCACTATATAAATGCTAGGGATTATGTCTAATAGGCCCAGTACTCTAGATTTAGGAGGAAGTACCAGAAGCTATTGTTAAAAGGAACATTTTATGGTCAGGCCTTTGCCTTGATTTAAGAGCTAAAACTCAGCAAGAGAAAGTTAAAACGGAGTTTATTAATGGCCAAGGCAGAAAGGCGTTGGTGGGCTGGTGGATGGACCAACTGGGCATTTAAGCCAGTGTTAAGATATTAGGAGACACCCGGTTTTCCAGAGCTAAGGGCAAGCAAATAAGCAGTGCCCTGAGCTTAGCATAACAACAATCCTTTGCACTTACCCTCTGAATGATCTCACATAATCTCAACCTCTGGCAAAATCACATAATTACTATATCGCTTTGATCAGCACCAGGTGTTCTCTGAGCTTTGACAAGCATAGACAAATACCCATGTTCTAGTCATGAAGCCCTGCCATGAATCAAACTTGTCACACTTGCTGTTACCCCTCATTGTCAGGGCTACAGCTCACCGCGCAACCATTGACATAGGTATTGAGATATCCCTACACTGCGTGTCCTGTGACTCTAAATCTAGCCTTTTTTCCTTTACCACCTGGATACTCAGTTGAGAAGTAATGAGCCAAATGGATTGTTGGTGTCTTCTTTATTATTGATTCCCTTTTTGTAAAGCAGCCATCGTGCTGTGGCTCCAGATATGTGGAGGAAAGAACACATCTTGCTTTTGTTGCAGATAGACTCCAGAAGGCTGTGCTGATTTAATCAAGGGATAGTGAACACTTCAAAGGAGTGTGTCTGCAACTACAAAAGAAAAAAAAAAGAAAAAAGGAGTTGGGGAAGGCAGGGAGAGAAAAGAAAAAAGCACCTTTGGCAATTGTTAGGAAAAGTAGATCAGGGAAGCAGGGAATGTTGATTCATCAGTTGGTTGTACCTAAGCAGAGACACTAAGCTTGGAGGGATGCTCAACACATTGGATGACAGAGTTAGGATTCAAACGTATCCTGAGAGGCCATTAGAGCACTGGGACAAATCTAGTTAGATGATATTCAGGAGATAAATGTAGAGTTCTATACATGGGTTCAAAAAAATCAACTTCCCAAGATTAAGATGAGGAAGCACGGTTAGCTGGAAGATTGTCTAAAAGAGTTTTGAGGGTTTTAATGGACTGCAAGCTCAGTATGAGTCAGCCATGTGTTGCCACACTCAGCAAGGCAAATGTGATCCTGGGCTGCTAAAAAAGCGATTAAAAAAAGAAAATTATTCCTCTGGAGTCTTCCCTTTTAGGCCTCATTCATCTGGGGTACTGTGTTCAGTTCTGGAACCCATTATTTTGCTTCATATCAAAGATTTTCAGTTTATCAATATGTGAGTCTTTTGTTCACTGAAACAGGTTTCAGCCCCTCCGTATCTCCCCCTATACCTTAGTAGATGGTCTAGGAAAATTACTAGGGCTACAAATATTATCAGCCTGGAGCCAACCACACAATGAAGCTTTCTGAGCTTAGCTGGGCTAGTCCTTGGACAACAGACTCTGGGCCAATAAGCCGGAGCTTTGACCAGACCTTCCAGAGCTTGATCTCCTCTGAGATAGTCTTTGAGACCCAAGCCATTCCTCTGCCATGATGAAGTATTTTGAAGGACGATTTAAAACTGAAATCAAACAACAATACAAATTCCCCTTCAAAAATGAACTAGCCATTTAAAAACAACCCAACCACAACAATGACCTTTTTCCAAACTCGAGTCATTTCCTAGATGGTTCTGATCACATACCTTTTTCTCCTTTGGATTTTTTTGAAGGAGACATTGTAAAGGATCAGTACGAGGATTTTTGCAAATGGTCTGTCCAATCTCAGCAGTAATGAGGTAATACATACCTCTTGTGATCTGTAAATAGTAGTTTGCAAATCAGATATTTAAATAATTTAAAATAATTTCACTCCCCCTATAGTTTTAGATGAACACAAAATGCAGAGCATATTTTATAGTAAAGCTGCAGAATTGGTAAGACCTGTAGGAAAAACTTGAGTAATTCTCATGGAAGCCTAAGTACTCATTTGCTGAGAAGCCTGGAGTCAATGTATATCCTACCAAAAAAAAATAGCTTTGCATTGTTATGAATGTTTTGTGTATTGATTGAATGTATAATAGCAATAGTAGTAATAAAAATAACATTTATGTAGCACTTACTATATGTCACTTTACCCACACAACAACCTTGGAAGGTAGGTGTTATTATCCCATTTCACAGATGAGGAAACTGAGGTGAACAGAGGTTAAGTGACTTGCCCAGGGTCACACAGACAGGCCAGATTTGACTTCAGGCTTTCCTGACTCCAGGCCTGGCACTCTATCTACCACCTAGCTACCCCTGGTACTTGATCTGTATCTATTTCCTCCTAGAAAATTTGAACACCTGCCACCTCACCCTTTTGATCTGCTAAGTGGAAAGAAGTTCCGATTCTTAACTCTGTAAGCCATTGTTTCACTGAAATTGAAAGCTGATCAATTAACTTGAATCTTTTAAGCACTTACTATGCACTACTTGCTGAGGACAGGGTGATAGTTTCTGACTTCAAGAAGTTTATATTCTAACAGAAGAATACAATACAAGTAGGTGTGGCCAGAGTTTTAGTCTAAACAGGTACAAGGATTATTACTGAATTACTCTACTCCCATTGAACCTCAGCAAATAGGTAGGGTGGCTTGAACTTGAATTTTCCTCATCTGATAGCTATTGTTTCTATTAGAAAAAATACTTAGAAAACATTGGGGAAAGTTATGTGCTTATTTCAGAAAAGGGGGAAAGATGGAAACTTCTGTCCTTTTCCATACATAGGGTGGTAGAGTAGAGAGCATTTGGCATCAAAGGACTTGGATTCAGATTCATAATCTGCTAATGATCTCTTATGTGACCTTAGGCAAAGTACCTAACTAATCATTCTGGACTGCATTTTCTTCTTCTGTAGAATGAGAGGGTAGAACTAGAGGATCTCTAAGATTCCCTTTTAGTTCTGCATCCTATGATTCTGTGTAAAGCTGTAACTAGCATCGGGTGACTAGGGCATTACCCTAAGGTGTTAACATCTGGGGCTGGGGAGAGGCAAAGGTGAGAGCAACATGATTCCTCATATAATGAATATCACCCAAGAACCTCACCTTGTAGTCTTCCTCTGGTCTACACCGCACAGTGTAACTACCTTCAGACCATCTCTTCTAGTGTTTAGTCATCTTGACTCCATTCTCTGAATGCCTGTGTTTACCCCCAACCCATGCAGGTGCAGAGGCTATATTCTCTATATACCCTTTTTCTAGTGCACCTGAATTTTCATGTGAACTTTTCTTTGCACTACTCTTTGCACCCTCTCCCAACTTAATATTCCCCAAATACAATGTCTAGTTATAGTTTGAATCTATGACTTCAGAACTCAGGTGAAAAAGGGTTGACAACAAAGGAAGGAATTCATGACAGGAAAAAATGAGAAGTCGAGGGAGCTGATTTGGGATAAGAATGATCTTCTTGGAGGACCTCCACGACAATCCAACATAGCCTGTTAGTAAAACAGTGTGGGCAGGCATACTATTTCATTGTTGGTGGAACTTGTGAATTAGTACAACCATTTTTAGAAAGCAATTTGGAATTATTCAAATAAAGTGACTAGGTTCATATCCTTTGAACTGGAGATTGAATTATTAGGCATGTACCCCCCAAAGGAGATAATTGATAAAAAGAAAGGTCCCATACAAACCAAAATATTTAGCTTCACTTTTTGTGGTAGCGAACAACTAGAAACAACATAGATGTCCACCAGTCATGGTGGAATGACTAAACAAATTGTGCTGTATGACTGTAAAGTCATATTACTTCACTGTAAGAAATGACAAATATGACTATAGAGAAGTATGGAAATACTTATCTGATCTGATGCCAAATGAAATACAAAGGTTGGGAATCTTTCTCCGTCCTAGGGCCTGATCTATCTTGGGCCCTCCAATTTGGTTTCTTCTGCCTGATCATTTATTTTAAACCTTCAATTTTCCAGTCTGCATAAAACAAATAAACAAACAAAAAATAACATCCAAACCAAAACAAACCAAACAAAAAACCCCAAACCAAACCAAAATAAAACAAGAAAAAAAATAGATCCTGCTTCCCTAAGCTAAGTACATCAAATTGTTTTTTCCTTGTGTACAGTCATAATTTGAACCTTTCTGTGAGCCAATGGCTGTTAGTTGATGAAGATACCTCCCTATCCTTTCTGTAATCACTCTATTAATGTTATAAGGACAGTAGACTGACCTTCTCTTGGACTTGTAGTATATGAGTGACATTGTAGATATAATTGTCCTTGTTGGCATTGTTGTATTCTTTCATAGCAAACCTCAGTGACTGGGGAACATAGTCCTTTGTCTCCAGGATGGCCTGGTAATGTTTCCTCGATCTTATTTTATTCTTGGCTTTGACTAGGCTGCCCTCCAGGGCCAGGACCAGCAGGAACAGAGCTAGATGCCAGTATGTGACCATCATTCTGTAGTCAAGGAAAGACAGAGAACTGGCCTCTTCTGTTCATAGGAGCTGGGTGTAGGGTGAAGTGGTGATGATGCAAGGGATTGAGGAGGCAAGAGATCATGGCTACTACACTACTGCCCCTTTAAGTTTTTTAAAAACAAGTGCTCCCATAAACAATGGTCTAGTATTTAAGCAGACTTTTTTTAATCTTAAAGTCAACTCTTTTGTGACAACTTTTCTAACGTATCTTCTTTGTTTTCTCCTAAACATAGTCAGTGCAGAGAGAGAGGAGGAATAAGAACCTCCTGACATTCTCTGGACTATATTCTCACCTTTCATTCTTTCCTTCAACAAATTTTGCATGTGCACACACACACACACACACACACACACACACACACACGGCAGTAAAAACTTGGCGGAATATATATTGAATTTCCAATCCATAAGGGGATCAGTCAATAAACATTTATTAAGTGCCTGCTAGGTGCCAGGATGAGAAGCAATAGAAGAAACGTGGGCTAAGGAAAACTGTGGATCATAAGGAAATGAAACATGAGTGGAATTTGAATAGAACTCTTTGTTCAGATTTGAACTCAGAAGATAAGTCTTTCTGACTCTGAACTCCATGCACTATGGTGCCACCTAGCTGCCCCCCGAAGACTTACTTCTGGTTAATTTAGCTGTTACCACGTGTATTGGATGATGGGGACGCCAACTCTAAGTTAGAAGCAAGAGACAAAGGTGTCAGGACCACATTATAGGGATAATCACATGCATGGACTCACACTCATCAAGAAAGTCTGCTGGTTTTTTTTTTTCGTATGTTCCCTTAATTGGCCATCTATTCATCATCTCTTCAGTCTAATTGTTATTTGGTCATTGGTCTAATTGTTCCTCATAGCTATTTTTTTTTGTCCAGTTGAGAATAATTTTGAGACTTAGAGGCATCTACATGGATGGTATAATAGATATAAAGAGGGACTTGGAGTTAGAAAGACCTGAGTTCAAATCTTGTCTCAGGCACTTACTAGCTATGTGACCATAGGCAGGTCATGTAACCTTTTCAGCCTCAGTTTCCTCACCTGTATAATGGAGATAATAATAGCACCTACCTCAGTGTATTTTTGTTACAATCAAAGTGGATAACACCTGTTAAAGTCTTTTGCAAACCTTAAGGCACCACATAAATGCTAGTAATTTTTATTACCATGATCCAGAGCTCTATGAGATAGTTTTTCATCTGTGGCTGCTACAGAAGTCAGCAGGGCACAGCAATAGAGAATCTAGTAATGTATCTGTAGTTCACAAATAATATAGTTTGCTTGGTGGAGGTGTGGATTGCATCGTAAGGGAACCAATTTATATTTAAGAAGGTTGTCTATTTATCTTAATGGACTGTAGAATAGTAGCAGAGGTGTTACTTGAGTATTCATAATTTCTTTTTTGGTAATTTAATAGAGATGGCCAAGAAACAGACCAAAAGGGGAAAAAACACATAAAAAATAGTGAAAATAGTATGCTTTGATCTGCAATCAGACTCCATCAATTGTTTCTCTGGAGGTGGATAGCATTTTCCATCATGAGTCCTTTGGAATTGTCTTGGATCACTGTATTGCTGAGAAGAACAAAGTCATTCATAGTTGATCATGGTACAATGTTGCTGTTACTGTGTACAGTGTTCCCTTGGTTCCGCTCATTTCACTTTGCATCATCAGTTCATATAAATCTCTCCAGGTAAAAACATATCTCCTTCTGCTTATTTAGTTTATCACCTACTAGGAAATAGATAGCATGCTTCATCATGCATACTCTGGAATCAAGAGTTGTTCATTGTACTGATGAGAGTTCTTAATTCTTTCCAAATTAGTTGTTTTTATAAAGTTGATATTATTGCATTAATGATTTTCCTGGTTCTGGTCACTTCATTCAACTCATACAAGTTTATAAGAGTTTTTCCAGGTTTCTCTGAAATCAACTCTTTCATCATTTCTTATAGCATAATAGTGTTCTATTACATTCATATAGCTACCATAATTTATACATCCATCCCCCAATTAATGGATACTTCTTTAGTAAACAGTTATTTGTAACCACAAAATAAGAAATATTTTGCACATGTAAATTCTTTTTCCTCAGGAGCATAGGCCTAGTAATGGTCAAAGGAAGGTATGCATAATTTATTAACTTTGGGTGCATAGTTCTCAATTGTTTTTCAAAATGACAAACCAGGGGCAGCTAGGTGGTGCAGTGAATAGAGCTCTGGCCTTAGAGTCAGGAGAACCTGAGTTCAAATCCAGCCTCAGACACATAACACTTACTAGCTGTGTGACTCTGGACAAGTCACTTAACCCTGATTGCCTCACCAAAAAAAAAGAAAAATGACAAACCAATTCACAGCTCCACCAACAATACATTCATGTGTCTGTTTTCCCACAGGCACATTTGCCATTTTAGGAACTCCTTTTCCCAGGTGGCACATTTATACTTGGCCAAGTTTAGCTTCTGAGAAAAATAAGCATGACTGCTTCCATAGGCATGTTAGAGGCGCTCAGCTCCATGCTGGATGATGAATTGGGGTCAGAGGATCCTTTAGTTAATTTTATTAGAACACCCTAAAAGTCAGATGCTGGTTAGGTACATTCACTTGCCTGCTCTTAGCTGGAAACTCTGAATTGACTACCCCCTAATAGGAAGCACTTGTCAGGATCCTCACTGGAGTAGAGTTTCATTTCAGTGTCAAGGTCTTCTCAGTCTTCTGGTTTCAGGTGCCTTCTTTAGATTTTTTTCTGACTATGCGAAATCCTACAACTTTCTCCTGACTTCTGATAACAAACAGTATGACCTCTTTCTTCTGCTTGCCTACCGTTTCCTTTGATTATCGATCTAGTCTGTGAACTATTCCCTTGGCTTATTATTCTCAGATCATACCTTCCCATCTGGTTACAGCCCTGTGATTGCCCTGACATTGGTTTCTTTAATCCTTGTTGCCTTCTTGTGCCTACTGCCTGGTTATCACCCCAATAGAGCCTTTGTGAAGTGATCCCAACCTCTCTTTCTCTGTTTCGAGAGGGGCAGCATTTGCCTGCATATATCTGACTTCCTTTTATAAATACTTAACGCTTGTGGACTCAGGATGGGAGGCATTCATTCAAAAAATAGGCAGCAATAAATGGCCTAGATAGCATATGACATTTGTCTTAGCATCTAAGCTTATATTTGTGAACATCAGAACTCAGAGAACATATTAGGTGTATCCCAAGTATCTAATCTGGGTCCTCTTCTTTTGTCTCTTGCTGACCTCATCAGTGACCTAAATTTAATTACCTTCCCTACATAACTCCCAAATCTAGTGTAATCTCTCTCCTGATCTCTAGTCTCACATCCCTGACTGCTAATTGTACATTTCAACCTGGATGTCCTATAGCATCTCGAACTTAATGTGTCTGAAATAGAACATATCACGCTTTCCCTTAAACCCACCTCTCTTCTAAACTTCCCTATTTCTATTAAGGATAACAGCATCCTTAAAGTCACTCAGGTTCACAACCTGGTCCTCTCTCAGCCCACACATTCCATCTGCTGCCAAGTCTTATCCATTCTATCCCCACATCCCTCTTATTCGTACCTTGTTCTCTACTCATGTGTCCACCACCTTAATTCTTATCACCTCTCATTTGGACTATTGCAATAGCTTCCTAATTGGTCTTTTTGTGTCCAGGCTATTTACTCTCTGATCTATTTTTTTTTATGGTCAGGCTGTTCATCAAGGAGACAACCACATATACAAGTTAACCTATAGAGATCTCTGCAAATCAAACTTCATGTGATCTAAAAGTACCATGCATAATGTTAAAAATGGACACCTGTGCAGTAATGTGATAAAAAGTTAACTGTACATAATCTAGGTTCTTACTACAGATACACATATCCAGGGGCCACATACATGTCCAATTAGACTTTTTGAAAATGTTTATTTTAAAAATGATAAAATAAATATTTTCCAACCTATTCTTCACAGCTGCCAAAGTGGTTTTCCTTAAATTTTAAGTCTGATTATGTCACTTGCCTTACTCAATAAACACTAGTGGTTTACCTCTAGGATCTACTTCTCTTATGGGCATTTCTAACTTTTCACAGCTTTGCTCCAATCAATTCACCCTTCCAGATTTATTATATTCTCAAACATTTGTATACATTTTGTATACATTTGTATACATAATACTTCTTATATTTATTATTTATATACTTATGTATGTCTTTGTTGCTTCCCCCATACACTCCTTGAGGGTAGGGATTATCTTATTGTGTTTATAGCCCCATCTCATAGAGCAGTGGTTGGCACATAGTAGGAGCTTTAAAATGCTTATTGCTTAATATACTTTAAGCAATACTGCCATAACTTTACACTCCAGACATACTGACCTTCCTACTTTTCCTCAGGCATGATACTCCATCTGCCATCTCCTGTTGCCCAGGCAATCTTCTATGTCTGGAAGGTACTCTTTTCCTCATCTCCACCTTCTAGAAACCTTAATTGCCTTCAAGGCCCGCCTTAAGCTCCACCTTCTCTAAATAAGGTTTTTCTTGATCTACCCACCCAGGTGCTAACTATCATCCTCTCTCTCCCTCTTCCCCCTCCCCATTACATTGTATTTATATATTTATTTTGTACTTTAACACATTCTAATATATGGTTGTTCCCCTTGATAGATTGCAAGCCCATTTGAACCTATTTCATTTTTGTCTTTATATGTACATAGTAGATGTTTAATACACACTTTTTATTTGATTGAGGGACATTTATTACGAGCTAATTCTGCTACAGGAAATCTGTCTGACTTTCAAGGGCAAGGTCTAGGTCTCTTCAAATTCTATCCCAGTAAGGATTCTTAATTTTTCAAAACAGAAGAAATACTCTAATACCTCATCCAAGTCACAACCACAGCAGGATCCCAGAGATTCCAAAAATACCTTCTCACTGGTGACCTGAACCTTCTCATGGTACTCATATAGGCAAAATATTGAGGAGTATATGCAGTTCTGTGACAGCTACCTGGGGTAGTGGAAAGAATATCAGATTAGAAGCTGAGATATTTATATTCTAATTTTAGCTCTTTCAGCTAACTATATTACTTTAGATAAGCCACTAATACATAAATGAGGGGGTTGGACTAAATACCTCTAAAGGCTCTTAAAATTCTAAAATTTTATGATTTTATTCTACTTCAGAAATCCCAAGGCTCATTCCAACCAAAGACTTTGAAAGAACAGGTTACTTTGCCTAAGTTTGAGCAGGTTACTTTACCTGTTTCCTCTAACTCAGTTTCCTCAACAGTTAAATGGTGATAATAATAACGTCTCCCAGGGATGTGAAGATCAAATGAGATATTTGCAAAGAACTTAGCAGAATTAATGCTTGTTTTCCTTCTTAAAATGCCTCCTTCATTCTGAGTGGCCCAGCTCACCCCAGAATATTTGATTTGTCCTGGACTTGTGTGTTCCATTGCATAAACTTCTAGACATCATTCTTTCAAAGCAAGGACCATGCCCACCAGTTCCGTTCCACTCTAGGGTGTATTGAGACTTTTTTGGGGGTTCATTCATTTATTCAGTCTTCATTGTTATTGTTTGTCCTTTGTTCTCAAAGGTGATCATGATATCATGGAGGTGATGCCATCATGCAAATGAATTGGATTTAAGTGAGGGAGGGCTGTGCAAAATCACCAGCCTCTCTTTTTCCTCCAGAGCCATCTGGTTTGGAATCTACCTAAATTGTGCTATCAGCTAGCCCACATATTATGTCTACAAGAGTACTTGTCAAATAGCAGGCTAAAATCTAGGTGTAACCAATTGTTGATGGACTTGCCCCTATTTGCCATGTGTAGGTGAAGTGTATTTAAATGGCTTAGAAGTGAAGTGTGTTTAGATGAGTTGTGACAAAATGGCAAAGATATAATCACTTTTTTTTGTTTCCTCCATCAAATGAATAATCTTTAAAACGGAAAGGACCAGATGATTAACAATTAGATGAAACTCAATATAAGCAAGGAGTCAGTTAAAAAAAAATCTACCCTCAATCTAATACATCTAACAAACATTTACTAAGTACCTCCTCTATGCAAGTCACTGCCTTATCTACCTATCTTGCCCTATACTGTTCCCCTCCAGTCTCATCTCTCCAAGTGCCTTTCAGACCCCTCAAACTAGATATCAATTAGACATCTTAACCTCAACACATCCAATACAGAATTCAGTATCTTTCCCCCTAAAGCCTCCCTCTTTCCAAACTTCCTTATCAGTGTCTAGAGCAAAGGTTCCCAAACTTATGTAGCCTACTACCCCCTTTTCAAAAAAAATTACTCAGTTTCCCCTGGAAATCTACTTTCTTTAACCCTTTAATGGTTTACTTGGAAATTTGTATCATTTCAAAAAAATATAAAATTTTTTTAAAAAGATGATGCATCTTAAATTTGATAATTTATTGTGAATTTGTGGGTTTTTTCCTGCATTGAAATTTTGATGATGCAATATTGTGTCATGTAATGTATTATAAACAAGTCATTACATATGGCACATATTCCTGCCTATGCATTCTGGACTTCCTGACAATATACAACATGATCGCTTACCAACACTTTCTTGTTAAGACCTGTTAGCGGACTTAACCACTGATTGGTTATAATTTGCATTTTGTTGTTTATTTGGAAAATAATGTAAACATTGCAACTTTAACTCTGTTACACAACAGATGAAACATGTATGAATTGTTTTTTAAAATTTTCTTCCCTTCTTTCCTTATGCTTTCACTACCCCCTTATTTTTATTCAGTGGCCCCTAATTGCACCTGAGCTATTGCCATCGCCCTGGATTGGTTCTGTGCCCCCCCAGGGGGTGGTATCACCCACTTTGGGAACCTGTGGTCTAGGGCAACACTATCTTTCTAGTTGCTTAGGATCTCAATCTAGATTTTATTTTTCCGTTCCTTGCTCTCTCTCATACGCCTTCCCCAAATCAAATCTATTGCCAATGCCTGTTGATTTCACCTTTGCAACATCTCTCAAATACCTCTCTCCCCTTCTCTTTCACTTCCACCACCCTGGTGTAGGTCTGCATCACCTCATGCTTGTACTGTACTTTTGGTCTCTGCCTCAAGTCTCTCCCCATTCCAGTCCATCTTTCATTTAGGAACCAAAGCGATTTTCCTAAAATGCAGGTCTGACCACATCACTCCACTACTCAGTAAACTCCAGTGAGTCCTTGTCACCTCCAAGATCAAATATAAAATCCTGTATCATTCAAAGCTCTTAATAACATAGCCCCCTCCTTCCAGCCTTTCCAGCCTTCTTATTACTTACTCCCTGACAAGTAGTCTTCAGTCCAGTGACATTGTCCTCCTGGCTGGTCCATAAATACTCCATTTCTCAGCTCCAGTTATTTTCTCTGGCAGTCTTCTATGCTTGGAATGTTCTTTTTCCTCATTTCTGCTTGCTGCCTTTCCAAGTTTCCCTTAAGTCTTAAGTAAATCTCATCTTCCATAGGAAATCTTTCTCAACCCCACTTAATCTTAGTGTGTTCCTTCTGTTAATTATTTTCTGTTTTATCTATATATGACTTGTTTTTACATATTTAATTGCTTATTGTCTCTCTCATTAGATTGTGAGTTCCTTGAGAGCAGGGTCTATCTATTATCTCTTTTTGTATTCATAGTGCTGAGCACAAGTGCCTGGAGCATACTAGGGGCCTAATGAATGCTTATTGACTCAGAAAATGATAAACAGCCCTTTCTTTCAAGAAGTTTACATTCTTCTTGGGATATTCAGCATATAAACAGGTAAGTATGTACGTGATCATTTTAGGAGGGGGAGGAGACTGACAAGAATGGGAGGAGGATCTTGAAAAACTGTATAGTAGAAGGCACAGGAATGGAACTTTGAAGGAAGGTCAACTTTTAACAAGGTGAGGTGCACTAGAAGTATATTCTAGATATTGGGAATAATGCAAAGGCAAAGTAGTGGGAGTAGAACGTTTGAGGAATAGCAAGTAGACCAGTGTAGCTGAAATGTTGAGCCCAGGAAAGGAAGTAGCATGAAATAAGCCAGGAAAGATTGCCTATTCTTGAATTGTTGGAGGCTTCCATTGCCAAGCTGAGGGGTCTATCTGTTATCCTGGAAGGAACAGAGTGCTCCACTGACATGCTAATTTTACATCATTAGGTCCATATAACATCCCAGGGTAGGTATGATTGCAGAATGGCTTCCAGTAATGGCTTCTGGTAATCTTTGAACAATCATGGAGAACAAGAGAGATACAGGTCTGGAGAACATAATTTTTCTGATTTTTTTTTTAAAGGAGTGTATGGGCAGTTAGATGGTGAGTAGACAGAGTTGCAGGCCTAGAGTCAGGAAGACCTGGGTTAAATCCAGCCTGAGACATTAGTGTGTCTTTACACGTTAGTGTGACCTTGGGCAAATCACTTAACCCTATTTGCCTCAGTTTCCTCATCTGTAAAATGAGCTGGAGAAGGAAATGGCAAATCACTCCAGTATCTCTGATAAGAAAACCCCAAGTGGAGTCATACAGAGTCAGATATGACTGAAATGACTTGACAACAACAGTCTGAATATGAAAAACTGATGAATTTGATTTTCATTCATGGCAAAATTCCAGAACATATTTTTAGAAGGATTGTTTGTAAACTATACGTATAAAGGAAAATGGTGAGCATTAAGAGTACAAATGGCTTAATAAACAAACTGACCATTTTTCTTATTTTCTTTTTCTTTTTTTAATTTCAGAGGATCTGTAGATTGGCAAATGAGGGCAAGTCCATCAAGAATTAGTTACACCTAGATTTTGGCCTGTCATTTGACAGATATTCTTATAGACATGATATGGGGGCTAGATGATAGCACAAATTAAGCAGATACAGACAGAACTGGTTGAATGAATGAATGAATGAATGAATAAACCCCCAAAAAGTGGTCTTAAAAATCTATGTTGGCTCAGAGGGAGATCCCTAGTGAAATTTCTCCAGGTATCTTTCCTTGGTTCTATTCTATTCTTTTATCAGTGACCTGAAATTACAGATAACATAATTAGCAAATTTAAGATGGAAAAAAGATAGAAAGAATAGAGAACATATTGGATAATAGATTGCTAATGCTAAGAGATTTCTACAGGCTAGAACAGGCAGAATCTCATAAGATAAAATTTAATAGAGATAAATGTAAAGTCCCATATTTTAAAAAAAAACCAACTTTCCAAATACAAGTTGGGGGAGGTGTTGCTAGACAACAGTTCCTGTGAAAAAGTTAGCATTTTTTTTAACACACTGAAATATCAACATGAGTCAGCAGTGTGAAATGGCAGCAGCTGAAGAAATTAAAAAAAAACCCTAATGTGATCAGTTACTTCAATAAAAACCATAATAATAATGATGATGACAGCACACACTGACCTAGTGCTTTAAGGGTTACAAACTGATTTTCTCCCAACAACCAAGATAGATAGTACAAGTCACAACATCATAGAATTTTAGAGTCAGAGAGAATCTCAGTAGGCATTTAGCTCAGCCCATATCTCTCCCCATCCCTGGCCACCCAACAAGTTTCAAGTATAACATATCTGACAAGTAGTCATCCATCTTCTGTTCAAAGACCTCCAATGTATAGGGATCCACCACCCCTTGAGGCAGACCATTCCTCTTACAGATAGCTCTAGCTGCTGAACATAAAGCCTAAATTTGCCTTTTTTGCAACTTTTGCCCATTGCTCCAGGTTCTGTCTTCGAGAGTTAAATAGAATAAGATTTTTACACGATGCCTTTTCAAATAAAAACTCCCAGTCTTCTCTTCCCTCCTCCAGTGCCTTCCCTTTGAGATTACTTTCCATTTACTATATATTAATATTTGTATGTATATATGCATACATATGAGCAGTGGGTGGAGTGCTGGGACTGAAGTTAGGGGGACCTGAGTTCAAATCTTGCCTCAGATACCTACTAGCTGTGTAACCTTGATCAAGTCACTTCACCCTATTTGCCTCAGTTTCTCATCTGTAAATGACCTGGAGAGGGAAATGGCAAACCACTCCATTATCTTTGCCAAGAAAACCCCAAATGGAGTCACAAAGAGTTGGACATGATTGAACAACAATGAACATGTATTTTTTTTAAGTTAAAAAAAATTCATAGTGTCTCAGTAATGACATCCACCAGTTTTTTGAGTACCTGAGGATATAGCTCATTTGTGCTTGGTGGCATGACTTTATCAAGGATGAGTAAGCATTCTCTTACCATCTTCCATACTTTATCTTGGCTATCAATTCTCTATTAGCCATTTGTATTTTGGCCTTTCCAGTTCAAAAAGCATTCTCTTTGGTAAAGAATGATTTGACTAGCTTTGTCTTCTCTTTGTTATCAGTTATCATTGTCATAATTCAATGTTTCCTCAAGTTCTTTCACAGTCCTCCAAATTCCTCCCCTCCAAATTCAATCTCTGGCCTTCTTCACACAAGTCTAAATCCCATCAAATTACTTGTATCATTCAAATCCTTTCAAAAGAGGAGTTAAGATTAAATTGTTATAACCTGTGCTTGATTAAATCCATCTGGCTCTTGGTGGTCATGATTTCTTTCTCTAGATGTTCACTAACTGTATCTTTAATAATCCATTCCACAACTTTGCCTGAAATTCCAGTGCTTGGAACAGTGCTTGGCAAGTTGTAAATGCCTAATAAATGTTTACTGACATCAAGTAGCTTTGTCTGTAGTTGTTTGACTTTATTTCTGCCCCTCCCATCTTTTCTTTTGACAATTTTCCAAAATCTCTCCTGTTTTCCTTTCTTTTCTTTTTCCTTTTTAATATTTTTATTTATTTTTAATTTATGGAATAAAGCAAGCATTCCCATAACATTGTATAACTAAAAAAAAAAAGATGATTGAATATGAAACTGCAACTTGCTATTCCTTTTAAATGTATAATAAAGTCACCAAGTAAATTTCTTTTTTTCCCCCCTTTTTCCCTCATTCCTCCCCCACTGTAGGGATGGCTGCATTAGACATAAATATGTATATACAAATACATATATGTATATATATATACATATATACATATACATACACATATATATGTGTGTGTATATATACATACATACATGCATGCATACATATACTTCTATTTATCAGTTCTTTCTCTGGATGCAGATAGCATCTTCCTTCATATGTCCTTTGTAGTTAATTCGGGTATTTATCATAGTCAAAATGACTTATTTGTTCAAAGTTGTTCTTAAAAGAGTATTGTTACTATATACAATGTTCTCTTGGCTCTGCTCATTTCAATTTTCATTATTTTGTGCAAGTGTGTCCATAGTTTTCTAAGATCATTGAGCTCATCATTTCTTATAGCACAGTAGTATTCCATCTTAATCATATACCACATTTTGTGCAGCCATTCCCCAATTGATGAGAATCCCTGTAACTTCTAGTTCTTTGCCACCACAAAGAGAGCTGCTATAAATATTTTAGAATACATAGGTTCTTTTCCTTTTTTCCTAATCATCTTTAGAAATAAACCTAGTAGTGGTATTGCTAAATCAAAGTGTATAGGCAGTTTAATAACTCTCTGGTTATAATTCCAGATTGCTCTCTAAAATGGTTGGATCACTAATAATGAATTAGTGTCCAAATTTTTCCACCTCCTAATATTTGTTGCTTTTCTCTTCAATCATTTTAGCCAACCTGATAGTTATAAAATGATACCTCAAGATTGGTTTAATTTGCATTTCTCTAATCAATAATAATTTAGAGCATTTTTTCATATGACTATAAATTGTTTCGATTTCTTCATTGGAAAACTGCCTATTCATATCCTTTGACCATTTATCAATTGGGGAATGACTCATCTTCTTACAGATTTGACAAATCTGTAAGAGATAAGAGACCTTTATCTAAGAAACTCTCTATAAAACTTTCCCTTCCTCAATTTTCTGCTTTATTTTTGATCTTGGCTAATTTTTTAGTGTTTTATTTGTATAAAAGCCTTTTAATTTAATGTAATCAGAATTATCCATTTTACACCTCACTCTGCTCTCTGTCTCTTGTTTATTCATAAATTGCTAACCTATCCATATATCTGATAAGCGATATGTTTTATGTTCTTCAAATTTTCTTGTAATATCTCTCTTTCTATCTAGATCATATATCCATTTTGACCTTATATTGGTAAATGGTATAAGATATTGGTCTATGCCCAATTTCTGCCATACTGCTTTTCTAATTTTTCCAACAATTTTTCTTACCAAATAATGAATTCTTATCCCAAAATCTTAAGTTTTTATATTTGTCAAATACAATGTTTTTCTATTTATTAGTTGTTGTAAATTGTATATCTATTCTGTTTTATTGATCTACCTTCCTATTTCTTAGCCAGTACCAGATAATTTTGATAATTACTGCCTTACAATATAGTTTTCAATAACCTTTTAAAGATCTTTCACAGTGTCCCTTAGTCATCTGGAGTCCCCCTCTATTCTCTCTCCCCTTCTCTCCCAGAGAGTAGAGGTATTTTTATCCTTATTTGAATTTAGCTCTCACAGCTCCCAAGTCCAGTGTTCTTTCTACCATACTGTGCTGATTCTCCCTAAATGAAGA